GACTATTGAAAAGCTCTACGGTTTTATGGTAGCGATAAGTCTTTTAGGTTCGTCTCTCCGTAAAGGAAGGGCTGGCCTTATTAGGTAATTCTGATATTCGAAGCGGTTTTAGTAGACACTGAACCATCAGAGAACATGTCCGTCTTAGAGTGTGGTGGCAACTTTTTCAAGTTATCTTTTTATCGCCAGACATTCTGTCAGTGGCTTCTTTCTATTCCTAAATCCTATCATTAAAAAATGCATTTGATTAATAGATACTTATAATCTTATCCTGGCACCAATTTTTTCAAATATAAGATATTCAATTTATAACACTTCCCGAAAGGGTATGAATGCAACTGGGCCACTGGATTATGCGTCCTGGTGGTTGAAAAGGAATTTTACCTCGAGCTAATGTTCTCATTTATGCCTGGACTATAGAGTAATAGTAACAATGAGCATATAAAAGCCTAAATACTTTAATAAATGTGCGATTGTAAAGCCGTATACTTGACCGCCACGAGTCATAAAAATTAAAAGGAGATACAAACCAGCCATGGTTAATTTCGACGCAACTTGCTTCGGTCAACGGGTTTCTTATTCTTAAACACTCTGAGGTGGACACTAAGCATGTTATATAGAGGCGCTTTTGAGTTTCGGTGAATCTCTTGGGGTGACATTACAAGATCTATCTCATTACTAGAAGATGACTCTGCAGTTGCTCCGCAGTCTTTTGATTTTCTTACGAATTTCAGTTTTATGCAGTCCCCGAGACTTCCTCCTTCGGTTTAAATAAGCATTCCAACTAATATGTAAACTTAAACCTTATATTAAAGTGGAATAACTACAAGTAACCAGGAATTAGCTGTCCTTTGCTCGTGAGATTGACTTACAGATCTCTTCATCTGGCACCTTCACATGAAATCTAAGTCACCCAAGCTCATGGATTTAATCTCAGTGGGGCAAAACTGTGCAGTGATACACTCCCCCAATTTCTGTTAAAGTGCCAGCTCTAAAAATGGCAAAGTTGTTTGAAATCCTTAAGTGTGGCCTTTTGACATTAATTGTGTTGACACAAAGATAAGCTGATCTAGCCTTAAGGTATGATGATGTAAGAGCTCTGTTGTTGTTTTTTAATGCAAAGTGTATCATCAGTCAAGCTGTTCAATAGCAGCACCATCACTTGATTGAGTGCCTTTTAAACCTGCTCAAAGCTAGAACAAAAAAAAGCGAACTAAAGTCTGCATGGAAGAAGTATTAAGCTTGCCCTCAGAAAGTTTTAGATAGATGCGAGAAACAGGCGAAAATAAATTAAAGAAGTGGTTCTACATAGTCTCCCTGACAACAAGACCAAGTGCCGACAACGAGGTCAACCCACTTCTATAAATCGAAATGAGAATGCGACCATAACAGAGACCACAACATCCTGGCCTTCATATATTCTATAAAAATAAATGAAATTATACTACTTACGAGTAGACCAAAAATTAAAATCGTAATCCTCACCATTAGTGCTATCATGAACTTAGATTTTGATGGTCCGCTAATAAACTAAATTTTATCAACTTTCCCACATCCCTATAGTCTGTAGGAAAGGATGCAGAAAATTGAGTAGGTTTGCTTCCAGCCGATGCTTACAGGGGGATTTTATAGCGTTATCGAAGCACATAAGCACTGTTATGCACATTAACAGAAAGAGAATGTTTTTATACACCGCAATGCCGTTTCATTTAAGGGCAGCATTTCATCCTGTTAAGGTAAGATATTTTGGGGATGTATATTCATTAATTCGAAATAAACAGTATTCTGTTTAAGGAGGTATACAAGCTTTGGTAGCCAGAACGGATGTACAGAGTGTAGCCAATTTGTCTCTGACAGTACAGAGGAAGACTTTTGTCGGAAGATATGCAAATAATTAGAAGTTGTTGAAGTTAGAAGAGGAGGACAATAAGTTATTTGAGTCCCATGAGTGGCGCGAATAAAGCTGACATGAATTTTGAAGGAAAAATAACAGAGAGAAAGATGCGTACTCAATTTTGTGCGACCTGGAATATAATGAGGATGTTTGTGCTATTATTGGGCGCGTAGTGGTTTAGGCAAGACTATAGAATAACCTATGGGGATAATGAGATGCAACATTATGTTAATAATTCGAGTATTGGCGGGAAAATATCAGTACTTTCTCAAAATTTTACTGAATTTTTTATTTGATTTTTTCTTAGATGGAATATGCATTGTAGCTAGTAGCCTGCCTAATTTATTCGAAGACTATTTTCATGAAGTAACACAAGATGGAAAGTGGGTAAGTCCATTTCTGATACATTATGTAATATGAACTCGAATAGATCAACACAAATTCAGTGAGACCTGCTAATTCCTCTTCTTGTCTCGTGGACAAAGCAAATTCGAGCATCTTCTGCTACGCTGAAGGTAAGCTGAAGCATAGCTTACTTATGACAACGAGGCCTCAATGTAGCGTATAATTCACTGCTGCCACGAAGCTCATTATGGTCATTCGTGTGGAGATATCGTTTTTAATACTCTTCCACAAGACAGATTTCAAGAGGCAACGATTGTATTTGCGATTTCCTCTAGCTCGTCTTAAGGGCTTTTAAGAATTCTTAGAATATAGAGTTAAGATTTACCGAAAGACTGAAATCCTTTGAATCCAGGAATGTGTCTAAAGAAAAGTTAGTGCTTACAGTGAAATTCAGGGAATACTCGAGGGATATTCATACCATAAAACGCCAAACGAAACTCCCAGGAGAATATTAATCGCAAATTAGGAAGCATGGCGTAATTTAGTCTGAATTATAGAGTAAATGTTAATTACAATATAGAGCATGTTTGGTTTAACTGAAACTACTTGGCGACACAAGTGCCTCATGGTCGCGGATTCTAGTGCCCCCTGAAATAAGGAGGCTAATTTAGGTAAAAATGTCTACATTCATTTGTTGAGGCTTATTCTAAAAAAAGGAAGCAAATCAAAATCATTCCTAATATAACACTTTTTCTTCATTTTGATAAATTGTAGTTACTAAATGTTAGGAAGCTCCGCAAATATTTTTTTAAATTTTCAAGTAATGTCGGGAATCTTGCAAAGTCTGTACTCGAAGACGACTTGAAAGTTTCGCAGACCCTTAATATGGTCGTCGATTTCCCCTGAAAAAGTATGCTTGTTTTGACCACTCTTGAGCTCTTTGTTTAGAGCAGAGAGAGGTGCACAAAGAATGCGTTTCCCCTTTTTGCATCAAGCTCAATTGTTCCGTAAGCGGAGGCTCGCTGAATGCTTTATAACTTGGTACCCTGTCTGACCTGGCTAACTATGGAATTGAAGGGAATTTTTTTTCTAGCCAGCAGTGTCCTCTCGTGGTCCAAACTGAAGTACCGACCAGTTTACCTGGAGTTGGCAAAAGAATACGCTATACACATCACCTTTTTCGACTCCATCGAAGACGGCCACATAGGCGAGGAGGTTCTTAAGGTGAGTTATGTTTTCTAGGCCATATTGCATAATATAATGTATAGCTAAGCATAGCCCTTCTATTCTCAGCTATAGTATGCATAACTTTGGCATACTTTACTGTGCCACACTAGATTCTGCTATAGATTTTCACATGATAGCAAGATAGAATACTATTAGTGAAACGAAAATATAATGTCCATTTTTATTAATTTGTCAACGCATTTATTTACTCTGATTGCTAGTGCCTATTGGGAAAAGTGACTAAATAATTCTTAGCTGAGGAGCACCAGAGCTGGCCGTCTAGAGTCTAAAGAACCAGCATGTAGTCAGTAAAACTTATTGTGGATAGGGAGCTGGGCCTTAGTCGCTTTAACTTTATCTCACCATTATAATGCAAAACAGTGGCAATTTGCATGTAAGACGAGTATATAACTGTAAGTCAAACTGTGATAGGTCTATCCCTCATATTCCCGTTTTATATGCTCAAGTGAACAGTATTCTATTTATTTTACGGACAAACAGTCCAGGCCACTTTGTTCCTTGTAATCATAGGGCATAGGTCTCACAAGGTCGCACCAGCAACTACGCATGGTCTGTGAATCAGGGGATCTCGTGACAACGTGACATATTATAATAATTACAGCGCTACCGAAGTTCGATTCCTATTGGAGCACTGATGATATTTAGAGGGGGTAGATAACTAATTCCACTAAGAATGAGAAAACCTAGTAAGAAGAATGGGTAAGTACAATTTAAAGA